AGAGAGAGAGAGAGAGAGAGAGAGAGAGAGGGACTCCCTATAGCAGCTGGCATGGAAACTTATATATAAACCAGGTTGGCCTGGATCACAGAGCTCCTCCTGCTTAAAGGCATGTGCCATCATACCTTGCTTTATTAAGCATATTACTCTTACTAAAGCCCCCCAAAAATCATTAGTGTATTATAAGTTCTGGAATAGTAGGTAATTTGTAGTCATTTCCAATCTTGTCTTTTTAATTGTACAATTTTGAGAGTGCTATTTTTGAGAAATATATGCTATTTTATAACTATTGAGTCAAAAGCTATTTATTGATTCCCTCACTAGATCATAAAATCAGAAAAAAAAACAAGAATTGACTTAAGCAAAAAATAATATTTTACCCTCACCATGAGGGCAAACACTGAAATCTCAAATGTCATTATCATACCAAACATTTCAGAGACATGCACTGTAATATGCATGATAAGATGGTGAAATTATTTCAAGGTAGCAAATATGTAGAGAACAAGATTCTTAGGGTAGAAACTAGTTTTTATGAAGATTAATCTATTATTTTTCTGGTGCTGTCCAGACTCTCATATATGACAGAGAAGACTCTCATACATGACAGGGAAGACTCTCATACATGACAGACAAATGCTATCACTGAGCCACATCAACAACCTTCACCTGTGCAGATATAAAAGTTACAAAACACATAGCAAGAATGGAATCTGGGAAGTCGGAAAATAAAGCTTAAATCTCAAGAGAAGAAAGTGACAAAATTTGGTGGAAGAATCAGGCTGAAGATGGTGTATTTGCCTAGTGCCCAGCTTTGAAAAATAATGCATGAAGTGAGGAGGGGAAAGCAGTGTAGATAGTCCATGTCCTAATGTCATGAGAACAGGAAAGAGACTCCTCAGAACTCCTCAGGATGTGACACTGAGAGTTAAGAAAGCACTATCTCATCTCCAATCTTAATGATTTAAGTGGTGCGAGGAGGAAATAGCCACCACTTATGAGGAGTGATGAGGCTTCAGGTGCAAAGAGATAAGCGGGATATACAAAAGTGCCTGAAGATAGTCTTTGTGGGTGAGGTCTATATAACATGTGAGAGAATCAGGAGACAGAAGAGGAAGATTAAGATATTAGTCTTGGTGATCATGGATGAATTGGAAATTCTGGGTTCTTTTTAGTCACTGACATAAAAGCAAGAAAGTAGATATGATTAAGGTAGGTCCTGACTTTCCCAGAAAAGAAAATCATGGTAAGGCTGAGGGTTCATAGGAACACATAAATGATTATGATTTCAGCTAGGAATATTCAGGAACTTGAAGTATCCACTGTACTCTTTAGCTGGCAAAAGTTGCTTCCTAAGACAAATCATTGTAGGTTGGCAAAAGAGCAGTCTTTATAACAGTTCCTGTTGTTGCCCTGTAGGAGATTATACAGCACTGTGGACTTCCTTCTGATTTACATAGTGATTTGGAATAAGAGGATCGCAAGTGACTGAGGATTCCTTTGAATGAGGTGCTGAGGGAAATCCTCCCTGAGTTAGTGACATTTTATATGAGATATGAAGAAAGCAACTATGTGGCTATTTTGCTAAAATATGTTTTGTAAACAAAAGAAGCTAGAAACAAATTCTCTGAGGTAAGACCATGCACGGAATAGTAGAAACTGCAATAAATAATGAGCAATAAATAAGTAACTAGGGAGCAGAGTGATAGTTGGAGCTAGAGCTGCAAGATATAGTATGGTTATAACTACAAAACAAATGTCAAACAATAAGAAAATACACTATAAACATTACCAAGATCTATGTCATAAATACAATTTCCTAGTCTATAACTGTGTACTAGCTAAGCAAAATACTGTAGAACACACACACACACACACACACACACACACACACACACACACTGTGAAAGATAGAATTATAACACCTTACTTCCATAATGGAGGCCAGACTATTTCAGATATTATGCACCAAACTAATTGCAATGCAACTAGCATGTTGTTTGAAAAATTCATCTAATAAACAATATTTCTCAAATCACATCTTAGAACTCTGATTAAAATGTACTTATTCAACAGAGTAAGACTATCCGTAGTCTCTGATAAGGTAGGGAATCTGCTGGCACAAATGAGGTTTCCACCTATCTCAGGAAGATTATATGAGTTAACGAGGCACCTGCAGACACAAAATAACTGCTCAAAGCTGACAGTTCTTTTCTGCAATCCACACCATATAATTTTTCTACAAAAGAAAAATCTGTCAAAAGGGGTTCCATTAGTGTCAGGTAAAGATTCCTAAGAAACATATTTTTTAACTTGCTGTAAAATGATAGCAGCAAGTGAAACTGAAATGAAATTCCTATTGCAAATAGATTAGAATTCTTTATCTTATCTATTTCTTCTCTTTGATCCTGGCACTGTCCTGGAAACCTTAAAGGAACTGTGACTTTGACAAATATGATGTGTGGTTATTCCTGCAGGGATGTTCTTAAAACAAATAACACATTATCCTTTTTTGCTGTACTGTTTTCACTAAGCAATGATTTACTAGGCATTACTAGAACTGAAATGGATACTGGCCATTTTACTTAAAGATTACTCTGTGTTCATTAGAGGCATTGAAAACTGTCGTTATTGCTAAAAAAAAAAAAAAAAGGTGCTTTGAATTTAAAAGTAAGCACCTCATTCTCTATTTCTCTTCCCCTTCCCTTTCTTTATTCTTATATCTCTTCCTCATGAGAAAAAAATTTGGCCTTAGCTTTGAATAAGTTATAAATAAATATTTGAAGTTTAATTCAATTTAGCAAGCAGGACTCCAAATGATCAGAATTAGTAAATGAATTATATTTCCTTTTTTATTTTTATTTTATGTGTATGCATGTATTGCCTGCATGTAGGTAAGGGTACCCGTGCTGTGAAGTGCCCACGGAGGTCAGAAGAGGCTGTGAGATCCCCTGGGACTGGAGTTAAGGACAGTTGTTAGCTGCCATGTGGGTGCTGGGATTCAAACCTGGGTCTTCTGCAAGAACAACCAGTGTTCTTAACTGCTGAACCATCTCTCCAGCCCCTATGAATTATATTTCAAATAACCTCGGTATATGAGTATTTAAGATAGTCAATGTATTTTTAAGTACATTTAAACATTTCAATTTTTGTAATATGTTCAATTAAATCATTTAAAATAATTCATTTAAAATTTATTTAAAATACTGATTACACTGATGCAATATATCAGTAGTTTTGTAGTTTTGGCCATTGACTGTGCAGCCTTCCATATGCTAGACAAGCACTCTGCAATTGACTTATATGCCTGCTCTTTTTTAAAAACTTTGAATTTGAATACAGGGTCTACTGACCTTGTACCTTTTTTACTGGCCCTGTGACTTTTTCTATTCCAAAGGAAATATTACACATTCTGGCCTTCAACTTGCCACTGCCTTTAGAGTAACTGGTGTTACAGGACTGTACCATCAAGCAGTGAACCTCTGGAAATGGTAAGTGAAAAATTAAATTGCACATATGATATTTTCATCAATGGTAGATTTAATACCCTTGAAACTTTTAGCTCTGGGCAACCAAAACAAATCAATGACACCTCAAATTTCAGAATACCTAAAATAGGTCTCTGTCATCCAGCCTTATGCTGTTTCAATCAGAGGATAAGAAGTATAATTTGTTTTAAATATATCTATTGATCTCTTTTCTAATTAATTTTATCCAAATTTGATTGTTGTTTAGTTTAGAAGAGTCCTGAAAAAAAAGTATATTACTTTATTTTCCATTGATAGTACACTGACTTTAGAGAAAATTAATATAAGACCCTTATAATAAATAGTGCCTTGAATTTTCTTTCTTGTGTATTTAATCAGATCTCAATTGAGCCTGGTCAATTTGGTGAGCAACTGAGGTCGTTAATAGATAATGAAGGAAACCCTATTGGTAACAGATAATTGCTAAATGTTTTTAAAAATAATTATATGGAGACAATTTTTCCTTCAGAAAATAAACACAAAATGAATAAACTATTACAAAAGTATAGCTTAAGCCTTTAAATTCATCCATTAACACTATCTTCTAAATGTCCATTCATATGTAACTTTTGAGAGATACACATTATTTCCATGAAAATAAACTTTATAAAACATAACCTGTCCTATATACAGCATAGACATTAATACAATCACATGCACAACTCATGCATACTCCTTGTAGAATTGTTAGCTGTTTAGTACAGACTGTTATATTAATTAAACAAGCATTCAACTTGTATCTCCTAAGTGTTTAGCATTCCTAAAATTTCTGGAATCCCTATTTCC